GGCCCTGTGAAGGCATCGCCAGACACAGACAGCCCACCTCCCTGCACCCCTCACCAACCTCTCCACAAACGGGAAAATTATTCTGGGGCCACCAACTCCTGTTAGACATCAGAAATAATTTGTGTTTGGTGTGACGATCCTTGTGAATCTCAGAACTGATCTTGGCGCTCTTTAAGGCCTACAACCGAATTCAATCCTGCCGGTCCGTCCAATCGAAGTGTCCACTTGAAAGAAAGAAAGATAGGATCAGCTCCAAGCCTCTCCTGCTTTAGAAGGCCATAACTCTCACTTCCTGCCCTATAGGATCAGCTCCAAGCCTCTCCTGCTTTAGAAGGCCACAACTCTCACTTCCTGCCCTATAGGATCGGCTCCAAACATTTCCTGCTGACCCCCCCGAATTCTAAGCATTTTCAATCATATGAGCTGTATGCATTTCATCAATTATTCCACGGTGTGGGATACATCAGGAATAATTTATCCACATGTATGTGCATGACCCTGGAATAATAAGAAAATTATTCCAGGGTACCACCCACATGGTCCTCGCACAAGGGACCAGCCATCATATAAGCCCGTCCACTGCGACGTCTCCCTGCGGCGGCCGAAGCGACCGGCGAGCGGATAGCACTCGCGGAGGTAAAGACTGAGCTGACCAGGGATGTGTAGCGATGGACATAGCGTTTTTGTGAGGACTTCTTCGAAAATGCCTACGCTTTGGAGGAAAGCGATGAATAGCCTCAACTATGCTGCAAGCGCCAGATGCTGGCATTTAAAAGCCTCTTCAGCATCTTTGTGCCTCAAGAGCTGTGAGTGGACACTGGCCGTTGGTCCGTTGGTCCCCATGGCGGTTTAGACAGAATTAGCGCCATTGGGACGTTCCACCTTTCGTGAGTCCACAGTGCGAAAACCAAAATGCGGCCTGCTGAAACACGCAGATTCCGGCGGAAGGTTCGGTGGCCGATTCTTATTTGGGGGTTTGCAGAAGGTACGTTCAGTCAGCCTGCACATGTAATATCGTGCATTATATGTATTGATTTCATATATCACTACATATCTATAATTTTACAGTATCTATTTATATGAATTTATAGACTTTGGTCACCACTGTTCACCTCACCCCCCCCTTCGGGTGCTTCTCCTTCGATACCAAAACTGGTCCAGGCGCGAGCCGGAGCGGAGGTCGGACCGCCCCGCTCCAAGGCGGGTCGGGTCCAAACTGGAGGGGTGCAAAAAAAAAAGAGACAACAGGGTGGCTGGAAAGCACAGTAGGAGATGACACAAGCTAACGATGATGATGATGATGATGATGATAAGGTTTGGGCTGCTCACCTCCAAGTAGCCACTGGAGTCTCAGATGGTTTTCTATAACTGGTTCTTCAGTTCGTGACCGAACTTGATCCCCTGGTTGGTTCGGTGACAAAGAGGCCCGGAAACGGTCTATGGGGCTACAAAGTTGCCTTTTTGAAGAAGCTGGAAGGCAATCTTCCATAGGCTCTCCTGAAGTGGCCAAAAGTGGTTATTCTTGTTTCCTTTTGTGTTTGCACATTTTGAGCATATGTGTCTTCAAATCCTGAGGTGTAAGCAGGCTGTTGTTTCGTGTTCATGTGACGTGTTTGTGGGAGTGTATACTAGTGAGTTTGCCGGATCCCAAAACAGTAAACAAAAACCATTTAGCAGACTATATAACAATTAACAGATCCAGTTAATTAATTGGATAGAGAGGAGTTAACTGATCCACCTTAATTAATTGCAAGTCGTGTAGTATACCACTTATATCCCAAGGTTCCGGCTGTGGCCAGGGTGGAACCTGGTGGATCAGGGCAGTGACCTCAGATCATCCAAGAGACCCATGGAGCAGATAGGACATGTCAAGGCGAGAGAGAGAGAGATGTTTTTCATTGATTCGTTGGGGCTGCAGCTTGGGGAAACTGATCACACAATTTCATACAAACAGTTCTCTGGCAGGTCAGGAGAACTGGATAGAACTGTTTTTTTTGCATGGCAAGACAAACGACTTCCGCCTTTCGTGGGAGAACCCGTGCCCACACGACCGGACTCGCTGGATCACACGTCGGACTCGCTCGATCCAGCCGCAGCTCTAATGGTGCGAAAACCGGTGCGTTCGCACCGTGCCCTCCTTTTGTCCTGACACCCAAAGATACACCGACATCAGTGAGGGTGTGAGGAAAAGAACCTCTCATCACTGAAAGCCCTATGCACAAACCACCTCGGACTCGTGGAAACACCACGGTCGAAGTCCAGCGTTGTTCACCCGAGGCCCATGCCTTCTCCGGAGGTCATGGCCAAGGCGGCGAACGCTCGGAGCTTGCTCTTCGTCAGCCCTGAAGGCTCGGTTTCCTCCACGCTGGGGGTCTCCAAAACACGGAAGGTGAAGAGCTTGCGGGGAGGCTTAGATGGAGCGAACGAAGTGGAGGCGAGTTGGTGTACCCAGTGTACCCAGTCTAGGAGCTTGAAAGGATTTGCCAAAACGATTTTGGAATGGAGTTGTGAAAGATCATGTGGCATTCTACTGAGCTTCTTGAGTCCATTCTTTTTGTTTTTTTGGTGTGCGTGTTGGAGCGGCTAGGCTGTTGCGGTGATGTTGTTTGAGTTTTCCTGGGACATAGGCTTTGGCAATGTTCCTGTGCAAATCAAGAGTCAGTTGGGCATCAATGTGCTTGAGACAGATTGTGCTTGTTGTGCGGTTGCAGGGGCACCAGCACGTGCAAAACAAAGTATGCGTATTGTTTTGATTCCTTTCACGGCACAACGCACGGGGATCGTTGTAAGCGACCAACAATCCAAGAAAACCTTTGCTCCCACTTGATGTTTTTTTTTCCGAACGAAGACCTGTTCATGGCCGTGGATTCGTGCCTCCTCGCTGCCGCGTTTCCTCCCTACGGAGGCCGTGCGATGTGGAGTCGGCCAATGGAGTGTCCATTGGCCGACCATCCTGGAGCGGAACATGAAGCACTTCAGAAAGGGGACCAGTCTTCCATTGGTTTTGGGAAGGTCCATGTTCTATCTACTCCAGGATGACTATAGCCAATGGGGTTTGGTGTCAGTCTGAGGTCAATGGAGGAGCTGGCACGACGAGATTCGTCACCACCCAGCTTCCTGTGCGCGAACCCAGGGCATAGGGGCAGGAGAGGCAATCATGTTTGAGGCAGTTGTAAGTCTCAAATTCTTACTGTGTATATACTGTATAATGTATACAATATATATAGAAGAAGGTCACTGGAACTGAGTCCTTTCTCATCAGGAACTGGGTCCTTATTGTTTGGATGATTTAGGTATGATAGATTGGGGTTACATGTTGGTAGGATCATGTGATATGTGTCACGCACACTTTTGCCTTTCCTCGCCACAATGTTTGGTTCCCAGCAGACAGCTGGTGGCTCAATGAGTCATCATTAAGATGTAATGAATATTCAAGTATGCCATGGTGGCAAGGTACAGTTCAGCAAGTGGACACATAGCCCACAAACTTAATGCGGCACAGCTCTGATATTTTGAACTTTAACTGGTGCAGTGTGTTGGTACACAGTGTTTCTAACTTGCATTCCGCTGCGCCCAATGCCATGCTATGATCATGGCCGTTGGAGTTGCCAATCATTGGCACGAGACCCTCGGTTCACATCAGGATGGACAGGAACCTTAGATGGGGAAAAAGTTGGCAGGCACAGTCGATCGGTCGATTAGATGGCACAGTGGACCCTTAGATGGTCACTGCGTGCACAGTAATTAGATATTATATGGTATGATATAGATGGCAGGTGCAATGACCATTCGATGGCAGGTGCAGAGATTGGAGGGCAGGTGCTCAATGCAAAAATCACTGTATTTTCCAGAAACGCCGATCATGGTTGCAGTCAAAGCTGTGCACATCGGACTTTCAGCAACACAGCGCTGTGGCTGTGGCTAACCCCGCAGTTAGTACTGCACACACCTAGTAGTAGCCTCTCATGAGAACTGCTTCAGCCACTTGTTGATGATGGCACTGTTCCGTGGGCCATGCTTCAAGATCCACCTAAGCCAGAAGCATGAGGAAACAAGAATAGTTGATATTAATGGATACCCCATGCATCCCCATTCTGTGTAATCTGCAGTCCAAAGATGTTTAGCTGAGGGTTTCCATTTGCGGACAATGAACTACTTTCCATTTTCAGTCTTCAATTACTGTACTTAGAGTTGGAGGGAGCAGAATGAAGTGCAAACAAACAAACCAGAACTGGTGGAGAAAACCAAGGAGCAACTTTGACTCAATTAAGCAAACAAGTATCTGCTTGCGTGCTTCCTGTGCTGCAGTGGCTGCTTCCCTGGGAGATTTGCCCGATGCCTTTGCCGCTTTGTGCACTCCGCTGTACACCTTAGAGTGGTCAGTAACCCCAGAAACATACAGAAAAAGAAATAAAGTAAGAAGCAGTGAGGGCAGCAAAGTAAGGGAAGAAACAATTCAAGTGCGATTACCTGACGCGGAAACTGCCACTAGTCGCTTCCAAGGTTTGAAACAGTCAAGGGACACAGTGAAGCTTCTTCATAATCTCTTCCTCGGTCATCTTAGCATCAATCCTGTTGCCTTCGTCTTCATCCTTCTTGTGGTCAACCTCCTTCTTCTTTTTGTTTGCATTCTTGCCGTTGCCTTCTTTCTCCTCTGCATGTTTCCTCTTGGCGATGCAATCCTTCTCAACTTGCTTCCGTCTTGCCAATTTTGGCGCCTGTGCCTTTACCCTGCTTGACTTGGCTGCTGCTCCTTCCCTTGCCTTCTTTCCTGCAGTCTTTCTGTTTTGCTTGAAACTCCTGCGTCTAGCATTCATCCTTGCAGCGGCCTCATCTCTTGCCTTCTTCTCTTCAGCTTCTTTCATCTCACCCGCTGCCCTCATCTTCTCATCTGCAGGCTTCATCCTTGCCGCTGCCTCATCTCTTGCTTTCTTCTCTTCAACTGCTCCCTTCTCATC